TTATTGTCATTCTGACAATATAGATATGTACTGACCACACTTTTATCTACACTGGTGTTTTGTTGTCATTCTGACAATATACATATGTACAGACCACACTTCTATCTGCATTAGTGTTTTGTTGTCTTTTGACAATATAGATATGTACTGACCACTTTTCTTTCTGCATTAGTGTTTTGTTGTCTTTTGACAATATAGATATGTACTGACAACAGTTCTATCTACATTGATGTTTTGTTGTCATTCTGACAATATAAATATGTACTGACCACACTTCTATCTACATTAAGGTTTTGTTGTTGTTCTGACAATATAGATATGTACTGACCACAGTTCTATCTACATTGATGTTTTATTGTCATTCTGACAATATAGATATGTATGGACCACAGTTCTATCTACATTATTGTTTTGTTGTCATTCTGACAATATAGATATGTACTGACCAAACTTCTATCTATATTAGTGTTTTGTTGTCATTCTGACAATATAGATATGTACTGACCACACTTGAATCTACATTAGTGTTTTGTTGTCATTCTGACAATATAGAAATGTACGGACCACACTTGAATCTACATTAGTGTTTTGTTGTCATTCTGACAATATAGATATGTACAGACCACAGTTCTATCTACATTATTGTTTTGTTGTCATTCACAATTTAGAAATGTACAGACCACACTTCTATCTACATTGTTGTTTTGTTGTCATTCTGACAATATACATATGTACAGACCACACTTCTATCTGCATTAGTGTTTTGTTGTCTTTTGACAATATAGATATGTACTGACCACACTTTTATCTACATTAGTGTTTTGTTGTCTTTCTGACAATATAGATATGTATGGACCACACTTGAATCTACATTAGTGTTTTGTTGTCATTCTGACAATATAGTTATGTACGGACCACACTTGAATCTACATTAGTGTTTTGTTGTCATTCTGACAATATAGATATGTACGGACCACAGTTCTATCTGCATTAGTGTTTTGTTGTCATTCTGACAATATAGATATGTACGGACCACAGTTCTATCTACATTATTGTTTTGTTGTCATTCTGACAATATAGATATGTACTGACCAAACTTCTATCTGTATTAGTGTTTTGTTGTCATTCTGACAATATAGATATGTACTGACCACACTTGAATCTACATTAGTGTTTTGTTGTCATTCTGACAATATAGAAATGTACGGACCACACTTGAATCTCCATTAGTGTTTTGTTGTCATTCTGACAATATAGATATGTACGGACCACGGTTCTATCTACATTATTGTTTTGTTGTCATTCACAATTTAGAAATGTACAGACCACACTTCTATCTACATTGTTGTTTTGTTGTCATTCTGACAATATACATATGCACTGACCACAATTCTATCTACATTGGTGTTTTGTTGTCATTCTGACAATATAGAAATGTACTAACCATACTTTTATCTACATTGGTGTTTTGTTGTCATTCTGACAATATAGATATGTACTGACCACAGTTCTATCTACATTGGTGTTTTGTTGTCATTCTGACAATATAGAAATATACTGATCACACTTCTACTATCTACACTATGTACAGACCACACTTTTATCTACATTGATGTTTTCTTGTCAATGTGACAATATAGAAATGTACTGACCTGAATTTTATCTACACTGGTGTTTAAGTCTTCAAAACTACCCTAATTATGCAGGGGTTTTATTCGGGATGTTAGGAACATGACCCATACCCATGGAATTGGGAATTTCAGCGATGTTTTGATAAAAAATTGGGAAAAAATGCATGTGTGATAAAATGAATGCAAAGAAACACTGTCTAGGATGGCATCTTCAAACATTTAAGCACCATATCAGTGAAGAAGCCCTTATTTTCAAAGATTTTAGAATTTGTTATTCTATATAAACTTTATTTTGTAACTTTCAATTGGGATTTTTTCCTGTGGATTGGGAAAATAATATACTATTTTCAATTGGGAATATAACTGAATATCAGTTATAAAATAAGCCCCCAAAAAAATCCCTGTTACGGATGCTTTCAGATTTATATATAGACAACAAATGTCGACTTTAAAGAGGACCCCCTATTATGTGGGTATGGGATATATGTCATAATGTAAAACAGAACCGAGATTAGTTCATTTAAACGAATATTACTATAAAATAGCCCCTATAAAGGGCTTGCATTTTAAACAACATGAACTATTTAGAGTGTATAAAAACTTTCTACAATTGGTCAGGGGGTAAAGGTTTTGTAGATGGTACATGAATTAAGTGTAGATAATAATATACATTATATTAGTGTAGAATATTGTGATTTTCAATCAGGCTCACTTTATGATACCTGGTATGTGTAATGACATCAATATGTATTTTTCTGTTACCTATTTGCTAGATAGAATCAGTAATTCTGGGCATTAGTTTAACAAGAGATTTACCAGTTGTGATAATATTGATGTTAACCTGTTCATTGAAACAAACAAACCACTTGCTCTCTATATACCTGCACTACTTCTTTATTGTGATCTATTCCTACCAAAGATTAGAATGGGGGAATTTTTATCTCCCATAATTTCTTGCTAGATCATAAAAGATACTGATTCTATAATAGAATTTCACTTTTTTTTTGTTACCAGTAACCAGCCTTTGTTTTCAAATTTCTGAGATTGGCTTTGAACATTTTTGTGTCGCCTCTACGGAGTAGTGGCGACATATAGGGATCACTTCTCTGTCATCTGTCTGTCCGTCTATCTGTCTGTCTGTCACAAAACTTGTCCGGACTACTCCTCATAATCTACTGGTGCAATATTGCACGGGTTTTCCGGTTGAATGATTTTTGGCCGAGTTATGGCCCTTTGATAAAAAGGTGTTTTTTTCTGTGTGTTGCCAGATACACAAAAGCTTGTCCGGACTACTCCTCATAAACTACTGGTGCAATTTTATCCAAACTTTACAGGAATGATCAGTACCAAGTCTAGTTGTGCACTGTCTATCTGATTCTGTCCGTCTGTCACAAAACTTGTCCCCACTACTCCTCATAAACTACTGGGGCAAATTCATCCTAACATTACAGGAATTTATGTCGCCACTACTCCGATCACTTCTCCGTCTGTCACAAAACTTGTCCCAACATGAAATTGGCCATCATGAGGCGACACATGTGATCACTGATCGCTCTTGTTATTTCAGCTTTTAACGTTTTTTTATAAATTCTAGTACATGTGTATATGTATATAAAGCAGTACCATTATATCATAATTATTGATACAGTACCATTATATAGTCGTAGGTACAGTACTATTATATCATAATTATTGATACAGTACCATTATATAGTCGTAGGTACAGTACTATTATATCATAATTATTGATACAGTACCATTATATAGTCGTAGGTACAGTACCATTATACATGTATAATTATTGATACAGTACCATTATACATGGTACTGTATCAATAATTATATAATCAGGGCCAAAAAACCCTTCTTTATAGAGGCCGAATATAGGCTGCTTCCCCAACCAAACTAGCCTCTTTTTTTCCCCAGTTTGGTCCTCAAAATTCCCCAGTCTTTTAAAATTTCACATAGAATTTAGAACAATATTAAATGATGGTGTTGAATTAAGGTATTTACTGCCTTATAAGTATTTCCCAGTGCTTTTTGCTTTTCTATTTTTAAGAACTTTTTAAAAGTTTGTGTTAAATTTGAGACCCCTTTTCCCAAAGTATGCCAAAATCACGCATATTTTCCCCAAGAAAAAGGCTGAGGCCCCTCCCCAAAAAATGGTGTTTTGGCCCTGATAATGGTACTTTATCAATGATACAGTACCATTATGTAATAGAAAGAGCATCGAAACACAAGGCTATCTGATTTGTACAAGGGGGCGTGGCCCCGAGTATTAATTGCACTTTGTTGCACTTTTTTTCGAACTTGTAACTTCAAGGTTGTTCGTAATAAAAATGTTGAAAATATTCTAAAATCCAAGCAAAAACAGTTACTTTAGGGTTAAATAACCATATTTTCTTCCTTTCTACTCAGTTTATGTTGGCCCATTGACTTCTTGTTTTGAAGGATACACATGGACATTATATATAGATAATAATTTATGCTAGATTGCCACTTGTTTTCTTGACCTTTCGTACCCTTGCAAGGGCTTGAATGTTTTAAAAACGTTCTATTGGAAAATGGAGTACTTTAAGCAGATTTTCAGGTAAATACATAGCTTTCCATTCTATAGTTGTTGCTGAAAATGATGCTAACTGCACAGAATTTATGATTGTCATATTTCTGAACTCATTAATTAGATTTAATTTGGTATCCATGGTTACTAAACAGCTTTAGTTACTAAGGTGCAGTATTTAGGTTAATTTTGTCATCTTGTTCGTGGGGGAAAAAAATTAATTTAACAGCACAAAAGACATGACGGCTGCATTACAATAACTAATAGAAATTTGCAGTATTAACTATCATAGAGCGTGCAGGTACTAGACATTGGTGTATTGGAAAAACGTGGGTTTTTTTTTTTTTTTTCGGGAAATATATTTCATAATTGTTACTGTATCTCTGTAGAGGAATTGAGGGACTAAAGGTATATACTTCATTAATCGTGAACTTCCACTCTCTATGCTAGGTGATTTCTGTGTGAGAGGAGTTGTTTGTCTTGAAGCGTTCAATGTCAGCCACATGCTTGTTGTCTAGTTGTTTGAAAAAAAAGTTTATTGTGTGTTTCTGTTTGTTTGTGAGACTGATGTAACAGCTCGTTATAAGATAGGGGGAAAAAACAGGACAGTCATATTTTATAAGAGTGCTGAATCAGGGAAAATATACCTAATAATAATAACATTTTCTATAACAGTCGCTTATATAGAAAATTCTTTTATTTATTTATAATTCTTTGTTAATTAATATTATAATAGTAAGCTGTTTATTGAATAAATAGAAACATTAACAAGATTCATAGTGACTGGCGTTTATTTGAATAATTTACAGGATTATTACATCAACGTCTACAATCAACAATGGCCGTTTCTCTAGCCGACATACAGTCCCCGGGCGCAGCGAAAAACCCCAAGCTGAAGGCAGTACCCGATGTTGAAATCGATAAAAATGGAAAATTTAAATATATTCTCATAAAAGTGCACGATCCATCAAAAGAACGAGAATTCAAACATATAGTAAGAGGATCAGGGAAGGCAGCTTATCACGGTATGTAACATTTTGATTGTTGTTATATTTACTCAGAACCCGAATATTGTTATAAGTTTTATTTGTTATTTAGAATTGAAAAAATATATTAATTTCTATAATTTATCAGGTAATAAATATGGGTGGAGTTCAGGTGAGTTAAGAAATATTTTAGAAAATAAACTCCCAAGTGCCGAGTACGAGTTGTTTGTTTCTTTCTCATCCCAGATTTTTATTGGCTGATTCCGAAGACTATAACATAAGACTTATAGCTAAGTTATAGGTATTAAAAGACCTTATCCATTTGTTGAAAGAAAAAAATGACAAGAATCTGGTTTAGTGAAAACCTATGTTATTGAATCCTTCTTTTTTGTCCAATATTGATAACTTTAGATTTATAAGAATTTAAAGTCTAGTGGAAATGAAGAAAGATAAGACTTATCTAAGGTTCTTGTTTGCAATAACTTTCTGATATATCTTGTATATTAATGGGAGGGATATTGAATGTTGTACTGTATGGAGAAGATACTGATATCATTACTGCAGCTTTCTTGTTGTGAAACTTTTTAAAGAGAAAATAAAAAGAATAATGAAAATTTCATTGTAATTTTACAGTTCCAAGGAAAATGAAACAAAACAATTTTAACCCATGTACTTGGCTATCGTTCAATTTGAACTACTACTATACAATAAAGATGCACAGGTTGGTCTGTATCCTTGCTGGTCGCAAACACACTTTGTTGGTTTTGTCATGGCGCAGCTTATATCATTTTTAGGGAAAAATTGATGAGTGAAATGGATTTTGAGCTTATATTAATTTTGTTTGATTTTTATGCTGATTCTAATGTATTTTTGTTCATATCTTCCTGTACATTTAAAACAGACAACTTTTCTATTGCTTCCATACTTTTTATGGTTTTAATTAATTTTTTACTGATTTTTGCCATGTAACGTCAGGCCATTTCCTTCATACCATTATAAAATTATTACCCTATTAAATTATAGCATAAATCAAATATTTATTAATATTCATTCCACTTATGATGCAACATAAATATTCTGCTGAAATTATCATTAATTTAACATTTTCCCCATTAATTAAAGAGATGGACTTGTCCATTTTTCATTCTGGACAAAACCATTCATTATTTTAAGGGAAAATTTCATAATATAATATACTGACTGAATAGCAAACAGTGCAGACCATGGACTTGGAAGTGCCAGTTGATTATTGTCTGCACTTGTTGCCTGGGTAGCAAAATTAGGCTGTCCCAATTCCACTGTCAAAACACTTTGACAATTTATTTCAATAAATTTTCAGAAAAAAAATCACTATAAATAATTTTTTTTAATCCACTGAAAATGTATGTACAGGTTATATACAGCGATATATATCAAGCAAATGAAGTGAAAGAGGAGAATTAGTTTCATAAAACTCTGTATATTACCTATAACCAACTTACAGTTAGCCCCACCCATTCAAATCGAGTGCATTATGTGAATAGGCGGAGTCCATTAAATCAGCTCATTTAACATATAAATTTAAATTCAATACATACAGTTGAGTTACAGCACTGCATGGTAATTATTTTGGCAAGATTTAAACAAAATAGAGCGCTTTCATTGGCAGACAAACTTTGCCAAACTGTAAACTAGAAAAAATAAAATGTTACTTGTTTATTAGATCTCTACTGATGAACTTTTATTTAACTTGCTTCATAAAGGTTCAATCGCCAAATCACCACAATTAACAAATCACCATAATTTACAAATCACCACAATTTACAAATCACCACAATTAACAAATCACCACCACAATTAACAAATCACCACAATAAACAAATCACCACAATTAACAAATCACCACAATTAACAAATCACCAGTTGTAAATCACCACAATTTACAAATCACCACAATTTACAAATCACCACAATTAACAAATCACCACAATTAAACAAATCACCACAATTAACAAATCACCACAATTAAACAAATCACCACAATTAAACAAATCACCACAATTAACAAATCACCACAATTAAACAAATCACCACAATTAAACAAATCACCACAATTTACAAATCACCACAATTAAACAAATCACCACAATTAAACAAATCACCACAATTAAACAAATCACCACAATTAACAAATCACCAAAATTAAAAAATCACCACAATTAATGTGTAATTACACACTTTCTTTTTTACAATTGTTTATATAACGAAATATGATTTAAAAAAATCCATGAAACTTCTAACACAGAGGACACTTGGGAAAATAATATACATTAATGTATATTTTATTGAACAACTCAAAAATACTGCTCTGGTGGGATTAAAATTGCTTGGTAACAGTATTGTTTAATGCTATCATTAACTTAGTTTATCTATCAACAGATATTAAAATGCAACCTTAGTTCAGACATTGTAGTATTAAAGCAAGAATTAAACTCTTGATCTGCTGGAATCAAAATTGCCACCAGTATAGAACCAGGCCTCAGAGTCAGCACCCATTGGCTCTAGCTCAAGTTTAGCTCATGTATTGCCAATAAAAAGTGGAGCAATTATCACTGTGGCATGGTCTGCAAAAACTTAAATGTAGCCCATTATTCAAACATTTTAAAATTATCAACATATAAGTTGCTTATCTTGACAATTTGCAGTTGTTAGACAAGGGACATAATAATGAAAGCTTTTTTTTGGAGCCCCTTTTTCCCTTTTTTCTTCTTAGAATTTTTATAAAAAGTGGTTATTTTTACAAATGAACATTAACATCGCTTGTTGCGCTCTTGTTTTATTTTGACATTGAAATCTCTGTAACATTGAATGGACTGTTCCAAATTCAAAGCAGGACAAAGCGTGGACAAAACCATTCATCTTGTTTAGGGAAAATTTTAAAATAAATACAGACTGAATAGCAAACAGACCATGCTCTGTACTGATACCAAAGTTGGCAGGCTATTTGAGGTAAAAAATTTGTCTAGAAATGAGAGAGTAAAGTTTGAGAATGAGGATGGTTCAGTTTACACATAATTAAGATCACTCATAACTCCATCATAGACTGGCATTCATCAATGTTTTACTGGGATTATAATTGTCTTATTTTAAGGGATAGGTTTTTAGAGGACCAGATAAAACCAGATAAAAGAGGATGATAATATTGAGTGTAATTAAAGGGAGTGGTACTCGTCTTCAATCCATTTCTGATAACAAAGCATCTGTCTTTTATTGTGATCAACCTTCTTGGAAAACTGTACCTATGCAGTGCCTGAGTTATATGAACAATATTGTTATCTATGTTTTCTTTTTCTCTTTTTCTTCTAGTGTGTTGCTTTTGAGGTTGTTAATTAAAGTTTAAAGGTTACAGATTAAATGGTGCAACACTGTACTATTGTAAAGGTATTTTTAGGCTTATCTCTTAGGCTCAGTGCTCCCCATGCATTTCATTTTCTGCTTTGCAAGATTAGCATTAACAAACTTCCTTTCTTACATAATTATATGAAACATTATTGTCATAACTGAGTGAATCATCCTATAATCTTCAAGACATATATAATATGACTGCATAACTATTCTGCACAATTGTGAAAACATGATATGCATGTGTTAGATGTGCATTGGATTTTGAAGTCAGATCATTATATCATTATAAGTGAATTGGTCATGTTTCAAAGCAACAATCAATTTATCAGTTGTGTTACCCCTGCCCCCAGAGTACCCTGCCACTCCCCAAATCCTAATAACTGAGCCTACATTATTTTCAATATTATTTTATTGGGCAGTGTTACCTTTTTAACCCTTAACACAGAGTGATAAGCCTTTGTGACTTAAGTAAGGAGCCAGGCCAGCCTACATCCCTGGCTGACATACTTTTAAAAAAATTTATCACTTGATAATGGACAGTTCTAAGAATCGAAGCTGGACCAGACAGTCCATTTTAATAATTCTGAAGGTTATGGCTTGAGCAACGTTTAACTTATTTAAAACCTTCACAAGTATTGAGTGTTGAATCACGTGTACCTCCTCCCATGTTTTAACTTTATTCTCATCTAAGCAAATCAGTATTTCTGCCCAGTTTTGTTCATGGTGTTGAGAGTTTAATAGGTGTTGAAATTAATAATAAAATATTGCAGGTGTATTAATATGTCGAGTGTCTAGGAAACAGGGTAACCTGCTAGCAATTCTCATTTCACCATCTGATAAAGTAGTCATATTTTATGAGCAAATACAACAAAAACCAGGAAACTCATTAAGTTTTATTCCTGCAAAAAAAAAAATGAAAAAAAATTGATTCTATAGCAACTTAAACTGCGAAACTCAAGTACAAAAGCTTAAGTAAAATATATTGCCAAAATTTGTTGCAGAAAAATTGCAAAATTTCTTAATGTGAATGCTAAAGTAATGCCTATATAATTAAATATATTTTTTTTGCTCAATATTTTATTTCGTAATTCAAATTTCAATATGAAGATATAATAATGTTTTTGCTTTTTCTAGTGGGGAAACCCCAGGTTCCCCCACTCAGGAATGAGCCGAATAGGTTCCTCACATGAAAGAATTTCACATTTTTGATGGAAATGTATTGCAGCAGGCAAGTTATTTTAAAGTCAGTGACCTTGATGACATAAGGGAGAACAATTATCACTGGGCCAAAAAGGTTGTCCCCATTATTTCACCTATTATCAGCAAATGTATAAATTTGAAACAAAAGGAGAGTTGTCACTTATCATTCCTTATCATGGCAGAAGCATTTCATTAAGAACTATGAAATACATTAATATAAAGTACTGCAGGTACTTAACTTTGTGACATTTTGGATTATGGTCACTAAAGAGCTAAACATTATTCGGAATATATTTAATTCCTACATAATATTGAAGGGAACAATTAGAAATTATTCACATAATACTGATAATTCTTATAATATTAAAGGGCCCAAAAATATTGCTATAATATTGAAGGGCACATGAATTATTCCTATAATATTGAAGGGCTTAAGAACAAATAATTCCTATAAT